TATATATATTAAACTATTGACAAACAAATCTCAAAGATGTATATTGTTTCGGTTGCAGGGTACACTTCAGAAAGCTTTCTAAAGTGAGCATTGCAGGTTAAGGGTTTAATTTTTAATCAGATTTAGGATTTAACCGATTACATTATTTTTTAAGTCGCCAATTTTTTTTTTATTATTTTTGGAGTGTGAAGGTGGATTGGAAATTATCAAAAAGAAACAGTACTAATCGTCATGTATAGAACTTTGACAATGATCATTTTCTGTCAATCAATACTAAAGCCAAGCGAAAGATCTCATTTTRACACAAATTATTTTTCTTTTACACTGCACACATAAACAGTTTAATGTGTCAATACCTTGTGATCTGTTAAACACATGTCTTCCTTAGGCTGTCTTAGCTCCTTTGCCTTTTCCAGTTCCATTTGTCTGAGCGCCAGTTTCTTTTCTTTGTTTAACCGGATCTTATCCTTCCTTTCTTGTTTCAGACGCTCTTTCTCCTACAACACAGTTAAACGAACATCAAAATGCTATTTTACACCCCACAAATTCACAAAACATTATGCATTTACTTCATGAAAGCAGCYAGATGTGCATCAAATCACAACATGTGAAACAAATGATTTTAAAAGTAATTTATTGTTTGAATGCCCTGTTGAATCACAAACCTCTAATAAAATTAAAAAGAAAAAATAAATAGGTCCTCTGGATGGGTTCTTCTTTAGTTTCACTAAAGAAGAACCCATCCAGAGGACCTACTTATTATTTCTTTTTGATTTTTTTCTACCTAGATTACTGAGATGCATCAGGAAACTCTAATAAAATTGACAACTGACTGAGTTGTYTCCGTTTTTGTGTTTGTGAAGTTTGATTAGCTGTGGAAGCCATCTTGAATTGTGTTGACACCAAAACTTGATCAGTTGCAGATGCACATCCAATGATTACTAACTTTAGGTTTCATGAAAATCAGTCCACTGATTCATGATATTCTGCTAACAGGACATATTGACTCTAACAGTTAATGTTAATGTTTTATTCCCAGATGTGAATGACTCTCAGACATTACCACACCAGTTTTAATCAAATCTGTAAAAATGAGTTACAATTTTGTTTTTAAAGTTAAATAGTAGCCATCTTGAACTGTGTTGACCCCCCTCCAAAAAAGAAGGAAAAAATTAAACATGTTGTAGACCTAAACACAAATATATTACTTTGAGAATTTTACTATAATCGATTTTAGTGAGATATTTTGCAAACAAAACAGACAAACACGCACAGCGGTATCAGCAGCTCCCAGTAACAAAGCAGACCAAAACAAAGACCTAAAYGAAGTGATAAACATGTTATTTAAGAAAAAACTGTAACAGTAGGACTCAGAGTTTGAGTGGTCTGATGTGCTTATCTGACTCTATTTTTATTCTTCAACAACAGTATTTTTAAAAATCCGTAGTTTGTAATAGTTAACTTTGGTTATCATTACGAGTACCTCCACAGTAAGAGCGCATCCGGGAACTTTGGGAGGTGACGTCAATAAAAACAGTCTTCTTAACTCTGCTTGTTCTTCTGCTTCTTGCAGTCTTTTTCTCTGTTTTCGCTCCTTGTCCTGTAACCTGCGTTTCTGCGTCGTCGTGTCCGACGCGTCTCTCCTCAGTAAGCGCATTGCCAGTTTCGCCTCCTTGGCCCGGGTGGAGTGGCTCTTGCGCTTCGTCCTCATTCTGTATCCCTGGATTCCCTGAAGAGATGAAAGGCTTGAACCGAAGCAGCGACTCGCGCCCCTCTTCCTTTTTGTCTTCCTCTTCCTACTTCTTCCTCTTCTTCGTTTGGGCAGGTTAGATGCAGGGTTTCTTGCTGCCCCCTTCAGTCCAGGTTTTTTTTATTTATATATATTTTCCTCCACCAGAAATTAATTCATGTCAAAGACTTTCAATGTTTAATATGTGGTCAGTTTCCAAAGGGCTTATTTAGGGGGCTCCAAAATAAAATTTGAATTTAAATGAACAAATATTTTCAGAAGCACAATTTAATTTTATTTCTAATGAGGTGCAAACCCACATCACTGTAAAGAAATGTACATTTATAGTTTGTGGTAGGTTTCCGCTTAATTTGGAGTTATTATAATAAATTAAACACATCAAATTCAATTCAAATTCAATTCAAAAATAATGTCACAATAATATAAAACATTACAGGTGCTACATTTAAGGCCGATCTGTAAATATTTAAGTCAAACTTTGTCAGGTATGAGGTTTGTCTGCAGTGCAGGACAAACCAAAAATACATTTTTTAAATAATCTTTTTGTATTTAATTGTCTTAAGTTTTTAAAACCTAAACATCTTCAATTCCATCTTYAGGCAAGAAAATGTAGATTTTCAGMTGCACAACCCCTTCCTTACAAACTATAAACTAATAGAAACYTCAAAAGTAGTATTGAGTTATTTCAGTTCATTAGAAACAAAACTAAATAGAGATTTAAGCATTGTACAGCAATAATAATCCTTATTGTCATCATTTTTGACTCGTACTTTTGATCAGCAGGGGGCATTACTAAGGACTTCAAACTGAAAGGAATAATTTTCCAATACAAACCTGTAAGCTTCAGTGTCAAAAACTACTTCACCTGTCTGTCACCATTAATATTTAATTATCATGTGATAACTACAGCTGTTATCTTTACAACAACCACAAAATCACCTTTTCACAGAGAAAACAGAAACAGAGGTGGAGGCCTCCGTTTTCAGTTGTCCCCCTCCTACAGCACGGCTATTGCCAGTATCACTCCACCCCCTGTTAACAATAAGTGTTAATTAGGTGTCAACGATAGCCATGTGATGTGAGTATCAGTCACATGGAGGCAGGGCTTAAAAGCCTGAATTTTGCCTGAAACTCTCAGACTGAAGAAGTCTCTTGGAGGAGAGACYAAACGTTTCATTAGAGAAGAACCCGTCCAGAAGACCTATACAATTTTTTTTCTTTTTCACAGAGAAAAAAAAGAATTGTGACTCTTGGCTGCTACCACGCCAGGTTTTAGCTCAATATCTGTACAACTGATTGATTAAAAGCTATTTTTGTGTTGGGTAAAGTTGATTAGCTGTGCCATACAGAACTGGATGTTGTTAATCAGTTGTTGATGTACAACCAGTGATTACTTTCTGAGAGTTTCATCAAAATTAATCCACTAGTTCTTGTAATATTTTGCCAACAGACCCAACTATAAAGGCAACTATATTATCACCTTTCATGGCGGGTAACATTTAGTTACATACATCCTAAACACATCAACATTTTGTAAGCAATCACAAAAGAACAGCATAAAATACAGGTTTGAAATCATCTGGGACAGATGGAGAACAAATCCAGATCACTTAGACACAATCTTGGATGAGCTTGGACCCAATAATGGAAAAGTGTTTCAAAGATGTAAATTTGTTCTGAGCATGCATGTGAACTTGTAAAGATTGTCTGTAAAATACACAGATTTCCCCACATTTTGGATGAATAAACTTTCATTTTTTAAAAATCTCACAGATTTGTTCCAAAACTTGGCTTCAAATTTATTTTACAGATCAGCGCCTGTATGAACAACAACAACAAAAATAAAATAAAATAAAATGGCATACCCAACTCTTAATCCACTCTGCAGCTAGACATTAGTACACCACCTCTCCCCGTCCACCCTTCTCTGCTCCTCGGCGCTGCAGACGCTGCTACCTCCACCCCACGTTCTGACTTACTCCAAAGCTTACAGTCTGCTTGTCTCACCCACAACCACCCCCACTCCCACCTCGTTGTATTGCATGTGCCTGARACGGATTTTTTTTTAATGAAAATTAAGAATTTTTGAGGGTTAATATACAGGTAAAAGTTGGAAGGGGTTGACATGTACATCTGAGCAAAAACAGCAGAACCACCTGACATGTCTGCAGAGAAGCTGTTTTACCATCGGGATATTTTTTTCACTTTCCTGGTTTCTTATATTTCTTTTTTTTCCTCATATAGTTCATAATAACTGGACATTTTTATTTACTGTATAATTTTTCAATAAATGTAAATCAGGCACAGCTGAAAGGTGTTCAAATAATGGTTTTGTTTAGGTCACAAAATGATTTGCTATTCTGTAAGTAAGAGATAAAATGTACAAATAGTAATTTATTCACCTCTGCCTTTTTCTGGGCCTGCACAGCTTTCATGAGCAACATGTGCTGTCTGCGCCGCTCCTTCTCCTACCAGAGGGGCYAAAAAAAATCATGTTTTTATCTGAATTTACAAATGTGCCTTTGTTGTGGAAGATAAAATGGGTTTTAGCAATCCACGTTTAATCTTTAAATCATGCAAATTAGATCACATTTTGCACACTGTGATGATTACACGTGTAATAGTTGAACAAAAAACACCCAAAGAAATACAAAACACAAATGTGTGTGTGTGTGTGTGTGTGTGTGTGTGTGTGTGTGTGTGTGTGTGTGT